TGTTTTCAGTGGGGTCCCCGGTAGAGTGTGCTTGCTCAGGTTGAGTAACTGGGTCACCTGTCTTTCTCACATGCCTCAGTGGGAGGCGTTCTAGTAGAAGGCTTCTAGAAAGCTTCCTGTGCATTTCACATCCATTGTCGGAAGTATGCCAGCTCTTCTCGAGACTTGAGAACTCCAGTGAGAACAAAATGATTTTTTTGAAATGTTTTGTCAAAGTGTTTTTTTTAAGTAAATATGATTTAAAAGTTTTTCAAAGAAAATGGATGTTTTTGCAAAAATGTTTACAAAAACAAAACCAAATACCTGTACCTCTCTGTTGAGTTGTCAACCCAAAGAAAACCAGAACCTGAACTATTTTGGACAGAAAATAAAATGCTTCTTTCCCATTTCCCTGTCATCCTCCTTGCTCTTTGGTCCCATTCGTTTTCCTCTTCATACCTACTTTTACTTGCCTAACCTCTTCTTTTTGGGTAAGAAGAATGATAAAATAAAAGGGGCTATAGACTTAGTCAAATGTTCATTGCAGTTCAACTAGCCTAACCTGAGGTGCTGGTGAAAATGAAGGTAAGTCTCTCTTTTTAAATAATTTCTGTGTTTTTTAAAACCTATCACAGACATTTGCTGTATTTACTTACCCTATCATTTAGATGTATAATCACTGTACCTTTCTAACGGAGAAAATTTCATATTCTTTCATGCATTGCAGAAATTGTGATTTGTGTGAAATACATAGTTTGAAGGGAAATCAAATTATTGTTCCTTTTTCTTCTTTCACCAATAGAAAAATGTTCAGGTAAAGCAAAGTCATATAGTACAGGTATTGCCCCCTTCTTACCTGTCCCCCATACCCCAAGCAAAAAAGTTTCCAGATGTTACACCTCCACTTTTGGAAACCACATTTTGTGGCACATGAAAGGAATTTCTACTTCCTGTATATGAGCAAAACCTTCTAGGTTAGTTGCTTTGGTCAGGTCTTTGGAATATATTGACAAATGTATATAGGGGGTATCTTGTAGTTTTATTGGTTATATTGCTCCTGGGGGGAATAGCAAATTCATGTAATATGATCAGTCTGCTAAAAAATAGGTTTAAAATGATTGAAATCCAAAGTCCACCTTGTAAAGGTGTGCACCTTTAATAGTGCTCAAATATAGATTTTCCCCACACACTCCCATGCCCTCTCTGATGAAACAGGGAACAACCTGCTAATGTCTGAGTGTGCTCTTCCTCCAAGCAATCAGCAATGATTTCTTTCTCCAAGAGTGCTTTCTTGCCTAATTTTTCATTTAGATTTTAATATTAGTTCTGACTTCTTGAAGAAATAGGTCTTTGTATGGTTACTGTAGGATAGGTCAAGAAGACAGGATGCCTCATCCTCTATCCCCTCTTCATCTGTGAACTAGAGATCATCTGTGAGACAGACCTTAAGTAAAAGATGAGATAAGTGAGTTTGCAGGGAGACTATATCAACAGTGGGCATTTGGTTGGCCTCCCCCAAAGGATCCGTGAGAGGCTCTTTGCTCTCTAGTGATGAACAACTCAACACTTCTACAGACTTCCACATCCTGGAAATCTTCCACTGTGATTTTGCTTCTTTACTGCATTTGTGGGTGTTATTACCTGGGAAATTAATCTACAGGGTGTCAGATAGCTTACTAGTTTTATGTATTTAGATCAAACATTGAGGATCTAAGCAGCCTGAAGGAAAATCAAAGAGTTTTTTGTGATCAATATTTACTACTTAAACTATAAAAGGAGGGAACAGGCATTTATTACATGCATCCAACATGCACCTCATTACAGATCATGCTTCTTCGAGCTCCTAAAAAAAAAAAAGACAATGCAGGACAATTGATGGCATTGAGTTGTGTTGTTGTTGCTTTGAATTCCCACCTGTTCCCTTTGAAATTCCAACTTCAGTTGTTTCTCCTTCTTATCTGGACCATGCTTGACTTGCAAGGAAGAAATTTTTTATTCCTTGTTTTACTGATGCTGCTTCCCTGGCTTTGTGCTTGAATCTGCCAGAAAATTCTTTCTCTGGATTACATCTTTTTGCTTTTAAAACCCAATGGTTTGTATGTTTCACCATGCAACTTGGGTCTGCTCACACATCACTTTATCAGTCTGGTTTTGTGCGTGGGCTACATAACAGATTTGCTCTTCTCCTCTATTTGCCCATGTTTCCAGCTGAGTTTAAACATCGCTTTCCTTCTTGTGGGACGAATTGACCTTTTGACTCCACTAAAGATAAATGCCATGGACTCTCCACTGTGGGAGGCCAGTTTTCCAGAACCTCACTGATATTTCTGTATTTACTGCTTGAAATTTAATATTGAGTAATATTCATTTCCCTGATATTTTAGTGAGATGGCTATGAACCTTTCTTTTCTACTCTTAGAGTAAGAATGTTGGGGTTGGAAATATCTAATGTAACCAGGCAGTAGGTTATGAGAGGTCCCATTACTTTTCACATCCTAAAGTTGTAAAATCAGATGAGCAGTCAAGTATTTTTGTTTGAATCTAACTGTAATGCCCATTTCAAGGATGCCAAGAAGAGCTGAGGTACCTGCAAAATGTCAGCAGCATTTCAAGCCTACCACTCTGAGTGAAGCTTGCTTCACACCTTGGTGGCTACTGTGCTACTAATGCAGCAATACCCTAAACTGACTGTGTTTTTTAGTATTCCTCCCTCCCATCTTGTCTCCAATCGTAAACATTAAGTGATGTGCAAAAATTGCCTACAGAACAGATGGCCATCTATAGGAGAGCCTGCATTTGTAACAGTTTTGCCTCCATACCCAATATTTTCCACATCTTTCTTTACTTTCTTCTACCTTATTGAAACATTTGCATGTGGAATAAGGAGGATAAAAACATAAAAAAACAAAGGCAGATTTGTTTTTTTCTGAGAACATCTGTTCTTGTTTTGAAGTGCCCACGTGGTGTGGTCCATGTTTTCCCACTGCCCACACATTGGTTTTCGTAAAGGTGGCTGCTCTATTCCTGTTACACCTGGATTCAAGGTGATGGGAGGCAGTGCTACCTAGTTGGTTGAAATGTAAACAAAACCCTGTTCTCATTTGCACAGTTTAGATAATATGAAAATCAGGCATACTCCCAAACAGAAGCTAAGATTGAATATACAACAGATTGGTATAGAATTATTCTTCCAATGAATAGTGTGATTCATTGATCTCGTAGCACTATTACCCAACTTGGGGTGCATTTGTTTCGCTCCAGGTTTCTTCTCTGAATTCTCAGGATTCTTGTGAACTTGGCTTGCACTTCCAGGATAGGTACATTCTAGAAAAAATTAAGTACAAATCACCTTCTGAAAACATTGCAATAAAAAGAAACCTTTCCACTTTGAAAATCTATTTATTTCTCAAGAAGAAAATTCCCTAAAACTTCAACTGCTATTATAGCTTTTATAACCTGCACTTAATAGGAATACCAATTACTCAAAATTAAAGGGTACAATTTAAAATTACCTAGTTTAAAATATTTCTACCCAAGCATACTCTTTTTTAATCTTCTTCCCTACACAGTACATAATACCTTCAGTTTGGGGAACAGAGGAGCAGGGTTATGACTAGTAAAAGCTACATGGGGGTGGGGCAAGAGTAGGCTTATAGTTGTATAAATAATACAATAATTAATAAATAACATTAGAATAAATTGTGTTTTGTGTGCTCACTACTGTAAGCCTATTTTTGTCTCCCATGCCCTATATAATGACCTTAGATAAAAATATATAGAACCTTATTTGATGGTTTCCAAAGAAATAAAGACCTATGTAGACATCAGTTATTCAATGAGTACTCATTAAAGCACCTACTGTGTATCTGGCCCTGTGCTTCTACCTGTTGGAGCCAAGTGTGTACTCTTCTGAAATATTTCAAATGCATAATATACATAGTGGTGTATTGGTCAGGTAAATATTTCATCTTTTTAAAAAGTTATTTCCAGAGACAGGGATTTTTGTGTATTGATTGACTTCTTTCTGCCTGGGCTCAGCCATTCGTGAAGAGAAAACAAACTTGATCTAAGTTCTCTACTTCTATGGAGTCTTTCTTGTCTTTTAAATTGACATCTCAGTTCATTGGTGAGTGAAACATGACACTCTCTTCCTCATCACTAGCCACATTGTTTTAATGCCTCAGTCTCTGTCCTGCCAGATTTTGCCCTTAAATACCATAATTTCTTATTGCACCTAATTCTTTCTAGGGTGCACTTGAACATCATCTCAAGCATCTTGGGCATTGATCTTTTGAAATAATGTGGTTTATTCCTTTATTTGGTGGCACTGATCATTATTTTGACCCAAACATATTCAATTTTGGAATTTTATATTATTCCATATTTTAGGTCTTTGGATCTTTTTTGGAGTATGATGAACAATGAGATAATTCAGGGGGTCTCACATTCCCTTCAGGAGCATTGTTTATAATGGGTTTTAGACCTTGCTATTGTTATTGTTATTGTTATGCTGATGATGATTACTACTATGATTTGTATGATCACTGATAGGAAATGTCAAGTTAAGAGCATATATTACAGAGCTCTTTATTTATCCAATGGGTGGATACTCTCCAAAAGCCAGACTGGTGTATTATGACTAAATAGCCAAATGATTTTTTTAAACGTGTGGCGAATTTCTGTATCTGCAAGAAATTCATCTGAAATCTAAGACTTTGGGAAACAAAATAACAGCTGACTCCTGTTTCCTGTCAATGATCGCTTACTGCCGCTGGTACTTAAATCCTTGTATTTAGAGCTAAGGCAGGTCACTTGTTTTCTTTCACAACTTTGCCACTGTCCTTTGTTTGAGTGAGACTTTTGCATTTGGGTCAGTGGAGCTGGGTGGGTGTCGGGTGGGGGTGGGATGTGATTCCTGGCCTGCTACAGGGTCATGTGCACCAGTGTGGCTTTGACAACTCTGATGCCACGAGCTCCGCTTGTAGAATGATTCTAATTTTGCCACTTACCACCACCCTTAGGCAAAGGACCTGAGACCCTGTATGCGGGGCAGAAGCTCAACGACAATGAGTGGCACACCGTGCGGGTGGTGCGGAGAGGAAAGAGCCTTAAGTTAACAGTGGACGATGATGTGGCTGAGGGTGAGTACAGCTTGTGGGGAGTTTGTTTCTCATTGCTGGCAGAGTCCTCTCAGTCACTCAGTGCTCAGAGGGCTTTTACAAAACCTTTTATTTCACTTAACGAAAATCACAGGTCATGTTCTCTGTCACACGCTCAGGCACGGCTAAGCAGGTCTTCCTCCATGTTTTCAAAACCCCTCTCCTCCATCTGTATTAAAGCACTGACCGACGATTGTAATTATATATCAATGGGTCTCTTACCTTAGGATTAGAGTTTGTGCCTGAAGAGCAGATATAGGATTCAATAGATCCTTCGATGGTCCAATTATTCATAAAACACTTACCAGTCACACTCCCAAATACTAGTTCCTTCCCTCAGTGCATGAGGTGCTCCCTAGTAGAAGAAGATGGATAAACCAGAGATTCAGAAAATAATAGGTAAAAGTAACCACTTTGATCAGTGTGTGCTGCTTACAAGGTGCTGAATGATTAGTCATTTGTCTAGCCATTATTGATTGAGAACCTGCTCCGGACCAAGCACTGCTTTAGAGGGCACTGAGAATATGGTGGTGAACAAAACAAGGGTAAGTCTTTGTCCTGGTGGAATTTGTATTCTAGGAGGGTAGTGACTATAAAATTCATTCATTGTGAGATAGTGACTTCATAATGAATGAATCCACACATGTGTAAGGGACCTTCAGAGCCTCACACAAACAGTACGTATTTCTTGAGAGGCTGCTCTAAGTCAGCAGTGTGCTAAAGGATCATAAAATGTAAAGAGGAGGACAAGATATCACTGGTTTCCTCAATGACCCAATCTAGCAGATTAGATAGGACTCTGGTATTTGAAAATAAGACAGGGAACATGATGAGCTTCTAATTTGGGTGGGTAAGGTTATAACTGTCAATCAGAAGAGGAAGTTAGGGTTGGGGCTGGAGATAGCAGGAGTGGTTTAAGAAGGCTGATCTCCACACAGAATTTGAAGGGTGAGTGTAACCAATGAGGTCTAGGGAAAATAGAGGTGTCCTTCAAGTGCATCTTAATAAATCTGCACTCTTTCCTGTTCCATAGCTGTGTCCATCTGCTGTCTAGGATTCTTGTCCAAACGAGCAAAGAAAACTGGGGTAGCAGGGGGTGTTATGTGGAACACCGCATTAGGAGACCTGGGCTCTGATGTCAATTCTCCACAGGGTGTGGGAAAGTCACTTTCCCATTTCTGGGCTTTGTCAGATGAAGTCAGTGGCCTATGCCATTTCTGTGACTAGGACAGCCAGATTGGAATCAGGAGACCTGGGATTTAATACACTCATTGGCACTAAAATGCACCAAAGGCTTTATGCCTGTGGGATAGATACACTAATCTGCTTTTTACTCACTTCTTCATTGTTAACCTGGAAGTACTATTATTGCTTAGACCCTTTCCCAGATAAATTTCTGCATTATTGGTCTTATAATTTTATATTAACAACTTTGAGCTTTTTTTGGGGGGGTCTTCTGGAGTCAGTAACTGTAGTAGCATATCACATGTAGTAGCAGCGTGTGTGTAGAGAAGGGGGGTCTTGGGCGCAGGAAGAGATGAGGCATATATCCTCATGCTCTTGGCGTCCAGCAGTCCCTGGAGATGAAGTTAGCTCTCTTACACATATCAGCCCTTCTAATCTGTAATTCTGTAAGTTGCCTTCCAAGGTTAGTGTTCTTATTGTCATTTGGCATAAGGGGAACAGGAAACATAGAGGGAGTTGCATATGCAATGAAGCTCCCAATTCGTGTCTGTGTGATTTCCTCCAATCAAGCTGCTTGCTGGACTTGATAATCCCTCATATGAAAATGACTTGTTTTACAAAGTGGGGATGACATTATGGGATAGCTGTCAGTGAGGTGGGGAATACAAGGCAGTCGGTAGACTATGACACCCACTCTCCTCCCCCTGGAGATGAAGACAGAGCCACAACAATTGTACCAAACCTTCCAAATGTCCACAGACCTAACTTCTTAGTGGGAGGTAAGGTTACTGTCCTGTAGGCCTGAAGGTTAATTTAGCCTTATGTAATGAATGTAAGCAAAGACATGTAAAGATGGTTGGTGGTTTAGAACTCACAGCCAACCTTGGTTAGTTATTCAAGAACACCCCATGAGGTGTCGGTGCAGACAGAAGCCTGCAGCAGCAGCTCAGTCTCGGGAGCCTGGCTTACTCTGGAGTTAGCCCAGGAAAACCCAAAGTAATGCTATTTACAGCGTGTTTTGAATAGTAGCCACTAGATGGCGACCTCAGCCCAGTCTCTCCCTGTTAACAGTGAGTACCTTTTCTTTCCGTAAGAAATGACGTGCCATGATAGCTACATTCGTGAGGAGCCGCAGAACTAAGGGTACAGTAATTGGTATTACCTCCCTCAGTTATTATACTTTTACAGAAACTTTAGAGTAAAGGTAATTATAAAGTGTGCTTTCTCTTCCCAGTAATAATTTGAAAGCAGGACTAAACCATGGCGTATCCAAGCCATCCAGTAATTTGATATTTGGAATTAATCAAGCTCTTTCATTTTCCACCTTACCCCCTACTTTGCTGTTGATGGAAAAAACAGCCATGACGATAAAGAAATTTGGGAGAAGAAAAGAGTCATTTTGATTATGAGCTATAGCCTTGGATTGCTTTTTACAGTGATAAGGGGTTTGGGAATTTTAATTTTAGCTCACAGAAGTCATAAAATCAGGCAATGAAATGAAAATACCACTCAGTCCTCACATTATTAAGTAGTGTCTTATTGGCTTATTTAGTAATCCCTTTCATGCTGTTTAAGGTCCCCCAGGGTGTCAAATTTTCAGCTAGTTTGTAGAAATGATGCAAAGAATAGTTCAGATTCATAAGAAATCGAAAGCAATCAGATAAATATTCCTCAGCCTGGTGGCTTTTATTTATTATAATATAATATATTCCTGGAAATGTATTAATTTCAGCTGGCAGTTAATAAAGATTGGTTGATTGATTGAGCTAGAATTCTATTATCAAGAATAAATTAAGAGAATACCTCTCCTGGGTTATGCTTCTCAGGATTGGGGTCTAATGCCACATGAGCCACCCACACCACCCAGAGCTTCTGGCTGGTGCAAAACTTCACCCTTTCTGCTTGCTCCAGTCCGGGAAGACTTTTCCATCTTCCTCTTTCACCCCCCATGGCCCAGCAGTGAGGAGTCATTGTCCAAGTTTTCCAGGGAAAACTTGTTTCTCCTGTTAACAAAATATGTGAGATTGATTTAGAATATGTCAGGTTATACAACACGAAGTGGATTTCTTTATTTTAAGACTTCTTGGGAGCCTTTACTCTGCTAAAACATATCGCCAACCATAAATAATTAAGAATGCAGTGTATGCCAATGTATTTTGTCCCTGAACTTGTTTTTTTATTAAAGCATTTTATAGCACGTACACACAGAAAATACTGGTGCTGTGGAGAAAGGGGCGTGGGAAGCAGCGGAGGATCGTGGGCAAACCCTGCATCCTTTACAGAGACTTGAGACACCTTCCTTTTCTTAACTTCTCTCTTCGTGTCTGAGAGCCACTGGGAGGCCCAGTTGCCTCTACGAAGCTGTTTCCATGATTTCTTTGCTAAGGTTTTGGGGCTGGCTAGGAATCTTATGTGCAGAAATGGTGGTGATCCAAGCTTTGACATCCAAGCGGATGTCTGGAAGCAACCCCCTTCCTAGGTGTCAGGGCTGCTTGCTGTGCTTAGGGCCTCCTGCTATAGGTCATCCTGAGGAGGCGGGCAGTGGTCCCTACTCGGAGAGATCTTGTGCTCTAATGGGAGAGAGAAAACAGGGTGTGAAATAACCAGAAAATTCATATATGTCAGGGAAAGGACAAAGTGTGAATGCTGTGTAATTAGTGATAGTTCACAGTTTGAGCATTAGGCCCTGTTCACAGCGCCACCCACGTACTGACACGTTTGATCTTGACAGCATCACACCTATTTGGCAGAGGGGAAACTGAGGCATGGAAGAATGTGCTAACCCAGACAGTCTAGCCTCAGAGCCAACATGACATGCTCATCCATTGTAGGTTAATGTCTCATGGGAAGTTCCAGCTGGAACTTGGCCTGGTTTTCTGTGGTTTATGTTTTCAACAAACTGCATCCTTCTGAGGGCTGGTCTATAAACCGCTCACTGGCCATCAGTGAAACTTGACAGTGCAGGTGTGCAGAGGGGCACAGGCCACGCAGCAGTTCTGGGGGAGGTGCTGGATATACTGCCTGTGAGCTAGAGGGAATGACATGATTCTTGGCCACTGAGCAGTGTGAACTCATCACAGCAGCTTCTGTATCGACTTTTTACCAGTTAAACTCCACCTACAGCTTTCCTTGGGCAACAGTGTAAGGAACCAGTGAAGCCTTTTCTCCAAAGAGAGGGTAGTATACAAGTTAAGACATTAACTTTGGAATTAAACACACCAGAGTTCAATGTAGGGGTATACAATTTACCACCTCTGTGAACTTTGATCCTATTGCTTGACCTCTCTAAGCTAAGTGTCCACACCTCTAAAGCTAGACTGTGCTACTTCCCGGCAGTTTTATCTTCATCTGGACATTGATGGTGGTGACAAAGTGCCTAGCACAGTGCCTGGCTAGAGAATATTTGGTAGTCTCGGTTTTCCCTTGTTATCTTCCTCCCCAGTTACTCCTCTTTCCTCTGCAATTTGAAAGCAGCTGCTGTAAAGTATGTCCGTGTTCCACCCTTAAACGGAAGGGTTTTGGTCTACAGATGGCATTCAGAGAAGATAAATGAGAAGGTTCCTGGTATTAATACTGATTAGGTAGTATACAGATTTTTTAAAAGACTATTTATTTTTTTAGAGACAGAGGAAGGGAGGGAGAAAAAGAGGGAGAGAAACATTGATGCAAGAGAGAAACATCAATTGGTTGCTTCTTTCATGCACCCTGACTAGGGACTGAATCTGCAACCCAGGCATGTGCCCTGACTGGGAATCAACCCTGAGACCTTTGAGCGGGACGATGCCCAACCAACTGAGCCACACTGGTCGGGACCAACACCGAGTTTTGAAAACATTTAATGCTTAGTTTGGTTCACATTTGAAACTTTAATGATTAATCTCTTCAGTGCTTTCTCTGGGTGAAAGGACATGCACTTTGGGGAGCCCGCATCCAAAGCAAAGAGTTTCTTTAGCACATGGAGAAGTCCATTTCTGTTCTAATTTGGTTCCACATCGCCTTCTCCCCACTGTTCACCAGTTTTTAGTGGAAGCTGCTGTCGTCCCGAACCCTAAATTAGTCTCTGTCCCCGGGCTGGGCAGTCACATTCCATTGAGTTTACTTTCTACTATTTATCCAAGGCCTTCTTCAGTCTCTCTTCTATCTCAATCTTACATGATTTTTATGTATTTTTTTACACGACTTTCTTACCCTACAGGATTTTCTGGCTTTATGAAATTTATATTCTCGTGAGCAGAATTTCCTAACCCCTCAATTCTGGAGGTCAGTTCCTCCGTAACTTTTCTAAAAGCTCCCAGCTGACTTTAAGATGCACTCTGTAGGTTCCTTTTGGAACCCCAATTTTTCAGTGATCACCCCATTATTACTTATTGGCTGTCATTGCTGTTTTGTTTGATTGTTGTAAAATAAAACTTAGAACAACTACCAGCATCATCATGGATCAGCTCCTGTGTCCACCTGGAGATATGCTATGATTTTCCCTCCTCCCCCATCATTCTCCAGCTCCCGCCCCAGCCCTGATATGAACAGTGATGGCCAAATTGACCTTGGATATTTATTTCCATCATATCATTGTTTTAAAGCATATGAGTTTACATTAGGCTACTTTGCATTTTCATGACCTGTCCAGTTTTTAATACTGCGCAGTTTTATACGGTAATTCTTTCTCCTAGTTATTCAATTGTTAGCAGATTTATGTTGCATTTGATTTTTGGTCTATTAGAATTTTATATTTAGTTAACCAACATCATTATTTTATTTTTGCTTATATTAAGAGAATGATTTGTAACTAGTTGTCAAAATACCACACAGACGCTCATAAAATTCAAATCTGATTTTCGTGCATATGAGGGATTGTTTGAATTAGGTCTCGAGCATGCTCCCATAGAGATGAAATTAAACTTGAGCATCCGAGAGTTTGATCTGATGGAACTTTCCAGATATTGAAGTTAAAGGGACCCAAGAAAATATAACCCCCTCTTTGATGCCACCTGCATTCTACACCAATAGAGGAGAAAACGTAAGGCACGTAGAAATCAAACATGGTTTTTATTAATGATAACACTGATATTTAGAAATGTGGCCCACATCTACTGAACCTCAGAACTAGGTGAAATCGCCCACTGGAGCCCTAAATCAGGACTGGGGCAGTGTCTTCCACTGAAGAGGGGCTTGCTCCTCTAACATCCAGGCTAGGGGTGAGTGGGGGAGTTGGGGTATTTCCTGAAGGCAGCTTGCTCCCCTACAGGGAAACAGGAAGTGCCAGGGTCTGGGCTATGCACATAGCAAATTTTTCTTTGCAGATTAGCCTTAATCTTTCAGATGACGTCACTCCTTTTCCTCGGAAAGTTGTCAAAGTTTGGGGGGAGGGGCAAACTGATGCCAGGAGTGTCTTGCTGGTGGAGTTTCTTTCTTGTGAAAGATAACGGCAGGATAGGGCAGGCAGAGGGAATCCTCTTTCCCTTCCCTGTAAAATGCTGGAACATTAGGACATGACTGGTTAAATTTCAAGGACTCATCTGTGTCTGAATGCTGAGGGAGCCACCATCTACTCTGGCCATACTAATGATGTTTTCATTGACTTTATGGCTAAAATGTCCAGACTCTGTATCTTTTTCAAGCCTTCCTCATTATCGCTGCTCCAGTCTCTCACCACTTTCGGGTAAACTAGGTGAGGAAGGGTCAAATAGTTTGCATCAGCTGAAGGTCTTTCATTTACAAATGTTAGAAGCTCAACTCAGATGCTTCCAGCACAATGTTTAATTCTAGTCCAGAGGTGGGTGGCTGGATCCCGATCTTCACATGACATCACCCTGGAGAAACTGTGTTTCTGCATGCCGTGGTTGTTTTCTGGAACTCCTGTCTTCTCGGGCGAGCCCCATCCCTGTGGTTACCACATGGCCTCTTGAGGCTTTCTCCTTGCCCCTTCAGCAAGCCTTCTTTGCAAAGACACCTCCTTCATAAGTGTTCCAGCAAAACCCTGCCGCTGACCACCACTGGGCCAGCTGGGGCTATTGCCAGTGCAGTGGTTCTGAGGGTGGTTTTGAGATCAGCCACAAAAGCATCAACTCAGAAGTTGGTAGAAATGCAAATTCTCAGGCCTCCCCCAGACTTTTGAAGCAGAAACTCTAGAGAGAGGGTGCCAATGAACTGTGTTTTAACAATCCCTCCAGGTGATTCAGATGCAAGCTAGCGTTTAAAGACTGCTTTTTAGTCCTTAGGTTTTACTCTAAGGCTGAGGAGGAAAATAATTTGAGTGGTTCAGTCTAAGTGGTTTGGTTACTTCAGGAGCTAGAATGGGGTCGGCTTCATCAAGCCCATGATGGTTTAAGCGTGAAGTGGGGAGGGTAGCTTCCCAAAAGGAAATCAAGTGTTATTAGTGTCAGAAAAAGCAACAGTTGCTGGGAAAATAAAATCAACTTTCTCCAAAAGTACAGTCATGCCTTTTTAACAACAGGGATCCAGTCTAAGGATGTGTTCTTAAGCAGTCTTGTTGTGAGAGCAGTCTTGTTGTGAGAACATTGAGGAGCATGCTGAGGGAGGCCCGGATGGTGTAGTTAACTACACACGCATGTTGTCTGGTGTAGCCCATTGCTGCTGGGCTCCATGCCTGTGCATCACGCTCCCACACAAGACAACATGGGATTAAATCCAGCACAAGAGAAAATGATGCTGTCAAGACATGCAGTAAACCCAAGTGGTCTGAGGCTGCTGCCAGTGTATCTCGGCATGCTTTTTTTTGTGAGCGGGAAGAGTACGTGCCAGAATAATGATAACATTCTAGTATGGTAAATACGCAAACTGGTAACATAGTCGTTTATTATCATTATCAAGTGTCCAATATTAGGTCCTGTGTGGAATGGTATGAGCTATGCTTTAATGTGACTGGCAGTGCAGTAGGTCTGTTTACGACAGCACCCCCGCAATCATGCGAGCAATGCATCGTACTGTGACGTCACTACAGCTACAGTATCACTAGGCGTTAGGAATTTTAGCGCCATTGTGATATTATGGGACCATTGTTGTGTATGCGGTCTGTTGTTGACCAAAAGCATCGTTGTGTGGTGCATGACTCTGCTAGATACTGAATCATTAGGTGGCGAATTATTACACTAAGAAACATTTGGTAGTCAGTACCTAAGGCTTGTTTGTTGTGCGTTTACAAGGGTTAGGGAGAAAAGGCTTCTCTTCTTATAGTGTATACCAGTACCTGGTTATTTTTCTGAATGGAGAAAACACAGTTTAATCCGGTAACTCGAGTTACCCATGTTCTCATACTTTCTCCTTCATGGTGGGACAGCTGAGCAGCTGGATGAGAACATGGGGTGCAGGCTATGAGACTTGGACTGGGCCAGAAACCAGCTCCCCTACTGAGGCCATGTCAAATACGTACAATATTGAATATTTTGTTTTCTGGAACTGGCTCAAGAAAACAGAATATTTTGTGTGTGTGGGGGAAATCAGATATAAAAGATATAATAAAATGCTGTGGCAAAACATAACTTTTCTTCTTGCCACCTCCTTTATTATTTTCACAGGGACGATGCTGGGAGATCACACCCGCTTGGAATTCCACAATATTGAAACTGGTATCATGACCGAGAAACGCTACATCTCCGTTGTGCCCTCTAGTTTCATCGGCCACTTGCAGAGCCTCATGTTTAATGGCCTGCTCTACATCGACTTGTGCAAAAATGGTGACATTGACTACTGTGAACTGAAGGCACGTTTTGGACTGAGGAATATCATCGCTGACCCTGTCACCTTCAAGACCAAGAGCAGCTACCTGAGCCTGGCCACCCTGCAGGCCTACACCTCCATGCACCTCTTCTTCCAGTTCAAGACCACCTCAGCTGATGGTTTTATTCTCTTCAATAGTGGTGATGGCAATGACTTCATTGCAGTTGAGCTAGTCAAAGGGTGAGTGGAAGGGGACATGTAGTTTATAGCCAATAGCGCAGCTCAAGCCTTGAACGAAATATGGACATGAAGTGTCCATTTTGCTCTTGAGCCTCTTTTTGTGATATGTGCTCTCGTCCTCATTGATTAAAAATATTTATGTAATGATTAGGGCTGGAAGGAAGGGACTAAGTTTATTTAAAGCCTGTTAATCCAATACTGTCAGATGTTTTGCTATGAAATGTAGCCTTTAAACCCATGGGGGAAAAACCTTATTTTTGCAGAAGAGGAGTATGGGACATGGCATCTGTCCCTGGGTCAGCAGTACTATCTGTAACCACTTAAATTTATAGGAAGAAATGAAGTATAGATATTTTTAGTACTATCATGAGTCTGTAAATGCAAATTTGAAAAATCTATTCTACAAGACATTTCACTACCATGTGCTGGAATATTGTAAAAAAAAAAGCAAAAGCCAGAACAAAACCTGAAAGACAGACCCATGACTGACTGTGATAGCAAGTGTTACCCCTTGTTGTTGAGGAGTGTACCACCTTCACCTTCCTGGCTCTGATTTTTGCTAGGTAGTGTTAAAGGAGTAGACTCTGTGAGTATGAAATTAAAGTGAAATCTGACAGAAGAAGATCTGATTCTTCTTGTATCCCAACTCAAACTATTAATCCTGGGTGATTCCAGTTGAGCATGGTGGATTGGAAGACCCAGATGTCATTATCCACACATTGCTGTTGAATGGCTTCAGGGAATCTAGGGTCATTGGATGGTTGTTTTTCCCTCCTAGGTATATCCACTATGTGTTTGACCTTGGAAATGGCCCCAACGTGATCAAAGGCAACAGTGACCGCCCCCTGAATGACAACCAGTGGCACAATGTCGTTATCACCCGGGACAACAGTAACACTCACAGCCTAAAAGTGGACACTAAGGTGGTCACTCAGGTTATCAATGGTGCCAAAAATCTGGATTTGAAAGGTAAATGTTGCGAAGAAGTTTATCTTTGCTAGAGCATATCTTACAATTGAGAGACTGTTTCCAGAGGCAAACTATAGGCTTTGAGCACTCTTTGTTTTTGATGTATCACGCATATTCTACTTTAACAACATTGAATTATACCGTAATGCAATGAAGGTATTCTGTTTTTACTTGACCACTCCTCAAGGAGTGGTTCATTTTCTCTGTGTACCTTGGGACTGGGGGATGAGATGGTAAATGTAAAAATGAGGCCTTGGCCAGGTGGCTCAATTAGTTGGAGCATCATCTTGTACACCAAAAGGTTGCAGGTTCAAATCCCCATCAAGGCACATGCCTAAGATGCATTTCAAATCTCCAGTCGGGGCTTGTACAGAAAGCAACTGATTGATGTTTCTCTCTTACATAAACATTGATCTCTCTCTCCCTTCCTCTCTCCAAAATCACTAATAAAAAGTATCTTTGGGTGAGGATACAAATATTGTCAAAATGAGGAGAGACCCTCACACAGAGGAAGGAATATAGATTTTAGAGTCTTCATTAAATTATTTACTGTCTGGGTGATTTTGGTAAACAGTTTTTTGTCTCGTATACCTTCTGTACACTTTTTTTTCAAGATAAGGATAGTAATTGTTACTGAGTTTATGGGCTTTTAGGAAGTTTGATAGATTAATGTCTGTAAGACCTTCAGCATGGTATTGGTATCAGGCACATAAAATGCACTCAATAAATGGTTTTGTTGAAAATGTTGTTAATTTTTACCATAAAATGGTAACCATACCTACCTGATAGACTCCATATGGTGATTAAAATTTATGAGATGATGTTTATAAAATTTCTTATGTGTGTATATAAGAAATGTTAGTTTTCTTCTTTGTACAGTGTAGAAACTCTGGCAGTTATTTTGTTTATGTTGCTTATTTTCCCCAGCTCTGTTACCATTATCTGAATAAATGGTCTCAAGTACATTGGCTTTAGTTGATGAGGTTTCCGGTCCTTTACTCATTTGCTTTTACTACCTACTTTCCTCTCCAGGTGACCTCTACATGGCAGGTCTGGCCCAAGGCATGTACAGCAACCTCCCAAAGCTCGTGGCCTCCCGGGATGGCTTCCAGGGCTGCCTGGCATCCGTGGACTTGAACGGGCGCCTGCCAGACCTCATCAATGATGCCCTCCACCGGAGCGGACAGATCGAGCGCGGCTGTGAAGGTATAGCCTTCTTTTTTGTTACGCTGCAGCCTTGTTGCAAGCACCCAGCCTCTCTGCTGCCTCTGCCAGTGCCCCCTTCCTCAGTTTACCAATCCTTTCTGATCCCACTCACCATCCAACATTGCACCACCATCAGCGTCCTCCTGTCATTGCTGACTGAGTATGTGAAGACATGTGCCACAGGCTCCAGGAATGCATGTTGGCAGATGTCTCCCCAGTCACATACTTGCTGATTGAGGACCTGTCTCGGCACTGACATCGGGCTTCTCCTGACTTGTGTCTTTGCTTCCAGCGTGGCTGAAAGGGGAACTTTTATTTATGTTGTAACACAGGGGGAGGTATGAACCAGGTACTTTTATGTATGTCACCATTAACAAAGTGTTTCTTATGTTGCTAATGGTGACTTATTATTTAATGCAAACACAGCAGGAGGTCGTAAAATGATGTCAGAATGCCATGAGGATGGAAGGAAACTAACATTTACTGAGTACTCAGTAGATGTCAGGCTCGGCAAAGCAGAGCTTGGTGTCCTGTGGTCGGCTTTGGTATTAAAAAGCCTTGGATTTAGGTCCAGATAGTAGCTCTGGTTAGCTGTGTAACAATTAACGAGTCACATAACTTCTCTGAGCTACATGATTCTCACCTGTAAAATGGGGCAACAAAACTTACCTTAACAGGTACTATCCATAGATCAGACATATATATTAAATGTCTGGTACGTACATAGTAAGTACTCAGTAAATGGTAGGATTGTTATTTACAGATATTATTTCGTGTGAGACACGTTTCATGGTGAGACACTGCATGCTCACCAGTGCAGCACAACAAACCATGCTCAGCTTGTTTCTATAGGTGATCCACTGTCTGTCTCTTCAGATATTCACCTAATTTTACAGGTCTTCCTTGAGTACCACGGCTCTTTACTATATGTAAAAATTCTCCAGTTCTAACCAGCAGAGGGCAGCAGTAAACATTTCCAGCCTTTTCTAGTGGCTTTGGGTGGGGTGAAAAGGTGACGGACTCTTAACTGCACAGGCAAAGGGATGTCTGGCCTGGATCTGCGTGTCTGTCACCAGGACCTGGGTGTTCTTTTGTCTGGTTGAGCCTCATGGTCCTTTGTGCAATCTGTTGTGTCTCCTTGTGCCCCTCATTCATTTACTACAGCGATTTTCAACCTTTTGCATCTCATGGCACACATAACATATGACTAAAATTCTGTGGCATACCAAAAAATAATTTTTTTTGCCAATCTGACAAAAAAGATACAATTTTGATTCATTCACACCAGATGGCTATTGTTGTGTGGGGTTTTGTCATGTTTTAAATTTGACACTCTAAGGGAAAAGGGAATAACTTTAAAAGTTATTGTGGCACACAGGTTGAAAATTGCTGATTTAGTACATCAAACCTGTTCATTCATCTCCTGCATTCAGCTTCATTTATCACTGTGTTCTTAACCAGCTTTCATCCGGGTTTGCTCACCACCTTAAAGCATATTTTAATAAAAGCTTCCCATTAGCTTCCCAGGCCTATTTGTAGTATGGAACTGATTTCTCTTTTCCTATGAGGCATTAGTAATAAGGCTGATTGTTCACAGCGTCCCTTAGCCAGAAATACCCCTTAAACTCTGTGGGCCTGATATGGGGCGGGGTGTGTGTGTATGAGTGTCAGAAGTTGGGAATCACAAAGCACTTAAAACAGCCCGTTTGCTTTCTTCCCCTGGGAACGCGCAATTTCAATTAACTCAAGAATTTTTGCCTTATTGCCCTGCTTTTAGTCCTTTTGGGTGTTAGAAAACAATCCTGAAAAACGTGCAGTATTTGGGAATTTAAATGAGTATCTTAAATTACAAGATTATGGAATGACAGTAAATCCAATTATCCTGGAATAATTCATCATAGCAAGTTACATCATGTTATAAAAGCACCTATTAAAAAGCATAAGGCACTTTTCAAATCTGAAAGATTTTTATCATGCCATCAGTTCTTCAGATTAAAAACTTAACAGGGATCATCCATTTACCTCTACAGCAATGTGCCTGGGAGAAATCTAATGAGTTACATATGTCATTTTTTTTCTTATAACTGCATTTTAAAAAGGTAGAAATTAGCAGCTAATTTTAATTTTATTTTTACTTAACTTAGAGCAAAATGGTATTTCTTCAGCATGTTAAGACATTTTACTTTGTGTTCACACTGAGACTTGAAAGTCGAGTGTGTGTTTCACACTAGCAGCACACCTCAATCCAGACCACACACCTCTGAAGTGCTCAGTAGTCACATGGGTCTGTATGCACCGTGTTGGAAGCACAATTCTATAGACTATAAAAATCAGAGTGTAAGGACACAGAGCTGTAGTATTGGTGAAAAGGAAGTCTAAACTAACTTTTATAAAAGTGGATTAAAATATGTAGTATAAAGGGGGGGAATGAATCCTAGTTAAGAAAGTTTTAAGAAAAGCAGAAAGGGCATTAGAAAAGCAGAAATTGTCCATTACATTGGAGAAAATGCCCCTATCCTTACCTACACCTCTGTGTGCATTTCAGTGCTACTCATCACAGGCATTATGGTAGGTCCTGACCTTCCTCTGAGGATGGGTGACTGTTCAGAGCTGAATATGGCTCTGCCATCTGAATCTATGGCAAGTCCCATGGGCCTAATAACCCTGCACTCTATTGCCATGGAGATAATTGCGATCGCTACCCAGAGCGCATTATGACTGCCCCGCTGGGGGGGATGAAGTGGAGGATGAGTGCTGAGGGAAGAAGGTCCTTGTTTATTGTACACAGATGACTTGGATAATTAGCCTAAGTGGCCAGGAAAAATGGCCAAAAAGTGGGTTAAGGCGTAAATTGCTGTCATTGGGAATTTGCACCATTGTGAATAAGCCCTTCTAAGAGATCCCAGGAGCTCTTTAGAGTGTTGTGGAAGATGACAGGGAAGGAAATCAAGGACACAGAACCTTAGAGACGCTGCACAAAGTGTCATTGTCATTCTGGAGCTCTTTATAGAGTAGGAGGCCCTCGAGAAGGCCTTTGAGTGTTAGGCAGTATGGGGATCACAGGAAATATGACTCATTTCTTGATTTATCATTTCTGTGTATAGAATAGGAAACAGGTAGGGGTGATGAGTCATTGCTAAGAACTAAGACCTGGATCTCTTCGAGATGTTGCATATGTTTTATTATCACATATCTGGGGTACATAGGCCAAGATACATCATAGATTCTTGTCAATATCACTGATAATGACACTTTGAGATGCTTAATTAGCCAATGTATTACTTTTTCTACAATATCTAGCCCAAATAGTTCAAAGTTATTTTAAAAACATGTTAGCCCAATACTCATTGGCTCTCAATTGTTTATATTAAGAAAAAACCACAATATTTTAAACAAGGTTTTCACTTTATATGCTGAGTGTATAATTTAGATTGTGATTTCTGGACAACTCTTAGCCAAAATCTAACAGTGATTCACAACCTCTTAATCTGGGCTAAGACTTTTAGTCCAAATTAAAAAAATCAGAATTTTACAACAATGCCCGATTCAATACTCAGCCGGTAAATGTCTTTCTGGTGGCCGGCTTTGCTACAGAGGCATTTATTGGCTGCAAACGCAATTCCACAATCGCAGATGGTAAACACGTGACAGCAACACCATTTCTCATTTTGGGTTTGGCACAAATAAAGAAAAAGACATCTCTTTGGTGTCTTTTTTGCCCACAGCCATTTGGAGTTAGCTATATTTTTACAAATTAAACAAATCGAGCTGTTTGGTATCACCTCGACCAAATGCTCTTGAAACAAATGCCTGATTGTGGTGCTACATCCCTTGGTGGCATCTTTAGGAGGCTACATGGACTGCTCCCAAGTGACTCTTCCATGCTTAACTCCTACATGTGCAGGATTATTTTTGTGGCCTCTGGTTGTGCACATGTGTCTTTCAGTCTAACCATGCACCACCCTTATTCCTTGATGTTTATCCTGACCGATGGAAAATCATTTTTCTGGACCATATGCCTGGGGGTTGGCTGTGTGTATGGGGGAAGGCTCTTGTGACCACTGCTTGTGCTTTGTCCAGTCTAGTGTCCCCTGTCCCTGCTCTGCTCACGTGGCTCTGACAAAGCCTGCTCCGCCCTGGTCTGTGCATCCCCCGTCTGTGCTGTCTCTGGAGAACCTGTAGAGCATTTCAATTGTCTGTTTGAGTGATGTTGGTTATGCCGATTGTATTTTCATTTCTGTAATGTTGCCCTGGTTTACTCTACCTCTTACTAACCTCTGGTTATTGTTTCCACCTTTTCTGTTCTTTTGCTAACAAAGTTGCGTTGACCAAAGCTGACCTGCAAGGTAGAGAAGGTTCTTGTTCCCATTACTCCTTTGGACTGAAAGGTGCCCTGTGTAACCCTTGGTATCTTTTCTTTAGAGATCTTCAAGCTGTCACACCTCTTGGACAGCAGCGGTTGTGGGAGGGGGCTGAACTCTGTGTTCTTCAGAAAGAGTGGCAGAAAACCTAGATCCATGCATCAAAAATGACAACAAAGGCAAGACAGGAAAGTGATTCTGTTTGGGGGGAACCTTAAAGAGGTTTGACAGCATCCCATACGGTGACTACCCACAAACACATTAATCTACTTCTGGAAATGGTTGAATGCCTCTCCCAGTGGCTGCCACGGAGGGGTTGTTTCTTTTCAACTTATTCACTGTAGATAGAAGATAGCACTTGTAAAAAGGAAAAGGAAAAAAGGCCACTTGAGTTCTTAATTTATTATTTTTGGGGTCAGGGAGGTCATCTCTCAGAGCAGGACTTTTGAATGCTTGGGCAAGAGAATGTCATTTTCTCTGAACCTATTTTAAGAAAGTATTTTCAGGCACTTGGGTGACATTAATATCATTAAAGTGTTCTAGAGATTTATATTTCCTGTTGGGGATTTTGGTCAAGCACTTTAATTTCCTGTTTTGTAATCTAAAGAAAAATGCATCCTTGGGGAAGAACAGAATCTG